CCCCCCCCCCACACACACACACCTTTCGGAACAACACCAGGCTGTTTTCTGCATCCTCACGCTTGTGTGTCTCCTCCTCCAGCCTGGGGGGTGCAGACAGCAAGGTGGTCAGATGCAGACTGCCACGCCCACCCCTGCCCTCCTCTTGCTGGCTCTCCCCCAACCTGCTCCCCCCATTCCCATGCACACATTGGGAATGTTCCCTGAACATCCCAGCATCCTCCCCCAGCCTGGTCCTCCCTTTCCCAGCAGCTACCTGCCCCTTACCCCTCGGAACTAACACCCAGAATGCTCAAAGTGCCCCACCCTGGGGGAAGTGGCCCCACCCCCACCCAAACCTGGGGAACATATCCTGTGCTGTACTGGAAGAGGTGGGGCAGTGCCAGGGAGGGAAGCCCCCCAGCCTGGCAGGCAGGATGAGGTGGTGCAGAGCAATTCTGGCAGGAGAGGGAGGCCAGCCCCACCCTGCAGGGATCCTATCACCCTTCAACTCCCCCTCCTCCCTCCATGCTGCCCTATTCTGGGCCATGCCGGGCTGCAGCAGCACAACGCCCCACCCGCTGCAGACTACCTTGGGCTAGGGCTTGGTGGGATGCTGTTCTGGGGGTCCCCAGACAGCAGCACTACCCCGCCCCAGAGGCTGCTGGGATACCACCTCCTCCAAAGCAGGCAGGGGCACCGCCATGTCACTGTAAGGGAGGTGCGCAGCCCACCCAGGGGGACTGGAACAATCGTGCGGCAGGGGTGCTGAGAACCATGGAACCAAGCGGTAACCCCTAGATAGGTTTGATGGAAACCGCTTCAAGCTGGAGGAGCCACAGCTCCCCCCGCCCCTAGTTCCAGCACCTACGGCCCCACCCACCACTGCCTCGGTTACTCTCGAATCCTCATCACAGCAGAGGGCAGCAGGAGCTGCGGTCGGTGGGGCCCAGAGTTGCTGACTTCTGCTCCTCCTGCCCCCCATGCCCAGGGCCAGCTCTAGGCACCAGCAAACCAAACACACACACAGCACATCTGTGTGGCAGCACAGCTCTGGGGCAGCATTCCGGCCAGCCTTACCGCCCGACGCGGGCCTGCCAGCGGGGGAGCACACGCTCTTGCTGCCCCACTACTGCGTCCTTGGGAATTCTGTATTCTAGAATGTTTGTACAGACTTTTTTTTTTTTTTTTTAAAAGGGGCTCATTCCTCCTCAGTGCTTGTCCTGCAGCGGCGGGCCAAAGGGGGGAGGGTGCTAAAAAATTTTTTGCTTGGGGCAGCAAAAATCTTAGAGCCGGCCCTGCCCGTGGCCCCCACACAGGCTGCTTGTACCTTGGCCCCTCATCCACCCCACACCAAACCCTACCCCTTCTCTTTGTACTGCCGCCCTTCCTTCCCCGGCCATCACCTCTTCTGGGCAGGCAGCGTGTGCCCCCCAACCCCTAAGAACACTTGGGTGGGAAGAGTACAGGAGGCAGGGGGTGGAGCTCAGCAGAGACCCTGCCCTGCACCCCTTTCCCTTCCCACAGTACCGCGGGCAGCATCTGGCACCCCATTCCTCTCCCAGATCTGCAGACAGCACCCCTAGATCCCTGCAACCCACTGGCCTGTACCCTGCCTCCCACGCGCCTCCCCATCCGGCCCCCTTTCTCACTTACCCCGTGCCACATTCCCCACCCCTAGCGCGCCTCGCTTCCCCTGCAGCCCTCCCCATCCTTGCACCCTCTCCTGCAACCCGCCCCCCAGCCCCGCCCTGTCACCTTAGCTTGAGCGCGGCCAGGTCCTCGGCCAGGTTGTCCCGCTCCACCCGCGCGCGGTCGCGCTCCTGGCCCGTCAGCTCCAGCTGGCGCCGCAGCTCGCGCAGCTCGACCTGGCACAGGTCGGCGGCGCGCGCGGGCTCGCGGGCCTGCGCCTGGTCCAGCTGGGCGCGCAGCGCCGCGTTGTGCGTCTCCAGGGCGCGCACCTTCTCGAGGAAGCTGGCGAAGCGGTCGTTGAGCTCCTGCAGCTCCGCCTTCTCGCTGCCGCGCGTGGCCAGGAACTCCCGGTTCAGCGTCTCGGCCAGCGCCCAGTCCAGCCGCTCGGCGCCCGGGACCAGGCGGGCCGGCGGCGCGGCGCGCACCGAGCTGCGCGTCCACTGCGCGCTGCGCGCAGCGCTCGGCGAGCCCAGCAGCCGCGCGGTGGAGAAGCGGGAGGAGGTGGAGGAGCCGGGCGAGAGCAGCGGCGGCCCGAAGGTGCGGCGGTACGAGGTGGCCCGGGCGGTCATGGCTGCTGGGCGGGGGCCCGGTTCGGTTCGGTTCGAGCTTGGCCTGATTCCGCAGCTGGCGCTGGAAGGAGCTGCCGGCTCCGGGATGCTGCTTTATAGCGCCCGGGAGGGGGTAGGCTCCGCCCCCCTCGGCCGCCGGCCAGAGCCCGGGGAGCCCGGCCGGATACGTTGGGGGGCTGCGGGACTTGGGTCTCCGCGGCGCAGTCCTGGGGCTGGCGAGGGAGCCTTAGTGGGTGCTGCTGAGGGGCGCAGGGACCGCACAGGTAAGAATGGACGGGGGGGCTGGCACCCTCTGCCCCCCCCCAGTATCAGACCCCATAGACCTGCAAATAGAACCCAGGAGTCCTGGTTCCCACCTGCGCCTCCCCAACCACCAGACCCCGCTGCCTCCAGGGCTGGAACTAGAACCTGGCCCCCTGCTGAAAATGTTCTCCCCACTTCCCCGCCAGAGAAGGGCTCCTGCGCCCCCCACCCCCGCCCCACAATACTAGATCCCAGTGCCCCTCCAGAGGCAGGGGGGGCAGTGGCCAGGGTCCTGCCCCTCCCGCAACTGCAGCAGAGAGCAGCAGCATCACTGGGTAGAAACTCCCTGCGTGGCTGGCAGGGGGTTGGCTTCTCCATAGAGGCTGTGCCCATGGCCAGGAGGGGGGCTGGCAGGATGCTGAGCCAGGAGCCCTCAGACTGGGGCCATGCACATTGGTCCGGAGCTGGCTGTGGGCAGCACCAGGTGAGTGAAGCTTGGGGGGCGGCCCCGCCCCAGCTGACTGTCCCCCGGGCAGTTTGGTGAATGGACCCCCCCCCCGCTCCCCGCAGGAGCTTAGTGCTGCTACTGCTCCACCCGTTCTGATGCCTTCCCAGGGGCAGCTGGGTGGGTCCAGTCCCCCTGCAGACCCGGCCTGGCGCACACATTCCAAGCACGTCTCCATCTCTCTTGCCCACGCCTCATAAACACCCATTTGCCCCTCCCATCTCAGTTTCTTAGCCCTCTGCAGCTGCCTCACTGTGGCTGGGTCTCCCCCCCCCCCCCCAGGGGGGGGGGGGTTTGGG